GCCGCCGGCTCCTCCTGCAGCCCCGCCGCGCGCGCCGCCTTCTTCACCTCCACGAAGGCGCTGCGCTTGGCCTCGCCGGTCTCGGGGCTGGGCGGCGCGAAGAGGCGGCCGCCGTCCTCCAGGCCGAAGTAGCTGCCCGAGGCGCGGTACTGCTGCGGCGTGCACACCAGGTTCTCCTTGGAGGCCGGCGGGGTCCGCTCGGCCAGGCGGGCCCGGCCGCCCACCTCCGCAGCCTCCTCCGGGAACTTCCGCTTCCCTTTGCAGCCGCCCGCGGCCGCGCCGTCGGGGCTCAGCTCCGCCTCCTGGTGGCCGGCGCCGCTGCAGCCGCCGCTGAGACCCGAGTCCGGGGAGCAGCTGCCGCCTCCCCGGGAGTTCTCCAGCTCCCGGGCCAGGTTGTGGAAGTCCGTGGATGGCTTCGCACTGCTGCTGCTGCTACTGCTGCTGCCGGCGGAGGCGGGTGGGTTGCTGCTCTCGGGCGAGGGGGCCGGGTAGTGGTGGATGGGGCCAGCTTTGCAGAATTTGGGCCCCGGACCCAGGGATGCCTCCTGCTGTGGCTGCTGCTCTTTGCCACCGCCGCCCCCTTGGTCCTTCGTGCCCATGCCGCCGCCTTGCTCCTCTTGGGGACTCAGATCGGCGCTGTGCAGTCTCTTGGGGCAGCGGAAACGCAGATGCGCCACATAGGGGAACTCAAACTGGAAACGCTGGCAGCATTCCAGGCATGTATAAGGGGACGACCCTGCTTAGTGAGCAAACACCACACACAGGCACACCACATGATTACTCAGCGTCGCCCCCGGCCACTTGGCCAGCATCCCCTTCACAAGCCACCTTGAGTTCCGGGAAAATGGACTACCCGACCTCATCTAACTTTCCTGCCCGATTTGAGGAAGTACAGTAACCGAGAGAGAGTGCCCCAGCTTATCCTCCCCTGTCTGTCCCAGCTTCATTCCGGGCTGCATCCCAGAAGCTTCCTAGGAGATTCCCGGAGGAAAGAAAGGCGCCCCTGAGTGGCCCTGCCGCAACTCCCTGCACCTCTCCCCAGCCCGCGAAGGGCCCACGCGCAGATCTCGAGCCAACCTACCATTCAGTTTGCTGTGGGATCTAGAGGGGCAGAGCAAGAGTAACTCAGTCAGTTCTTTCCCGTACCAAACGAGTAATTCCTCGTCTTTGGCAATCCTGCGGAGAGAGCGGTAGAACAGCTGTCCGTTTTTGATGTAGGCTTCGAGGTTCTGTTCTTCTCTGTCTCTGGCGGACTGGACCAGCCGCAGCCACATGAGGCCTTCGGAGGAGCCGTTTGCCGCTGAGGTGTCTACCTGCAGTTTAAAAGAGAAGATGGTACGTCCACCCTGGTGAGAAAACGAAACCAGGCAAATGAGACCTTTTCCAGAGAATTATCTGAGACCAAAACTGGACCCAAGGTGGGGGGACACAAACTTACGCTTTGAGCCGGCAGGCAAGAAAACTATCCTGGTCGAACACTGCATCAATCATATATAGATTAAATCTTTTTCGTATAGTGGGCGAATATCAAGTGAAGAGATTTCTTCGTAAAATATAAAGCAGTGTTAGCCTCTTCAGAATTCACTTCTAAATTGTTGTACACTGCGAAAGTATGGGGAGTTTTGTTTCAAAAGGAAAATGGAAGTCTAGATCTTAGAAATCACTGTGTGGCACGAATCTTCCTAATTCTGGCTTGGACAATTAATAGCTTCTCTTTGTAAAGAAAGAATAGGAAGTGAGAGGCCTGTTGTCTTCAAACTCAAACATATGGACTTAATGGTGCTTCCCTGTCAAAGCAATTATCATTTTTATTTAAATAAACTCTGGGCACCAGCTAATGTTACCAAAGACAGAAACATTCAGGAGATGAGCCGGCCTCCCATGCTGGACCGAAAATGGTGCCAGTACTTGTAAAAGCACTTCCAGAAAGCACTGAGTGTGCAAGCAACCTCAGCCCGGAGTTGAAGAGAGGCGCATCAAGTGGGAGAACTCAGCACTGAGATGCGATTGATACCTTTCCAGCATTCCAAAGCAGCGTCTGTCATAGTTCCAGAAAATCAGTTGACACTCACTTGATTTACTCTTTATTTTTCTCATTGTTGGCATTTAAAGTGGGACTGCTTGCATTACTGTGTTTCCTACATTCAGAGCTCATTCTGCTGGGCATGAGAATGATTCTTGTTCCATTTCCAAGAGGATGCTGCCCTCATACACCTACACAGCATGGGCCAAGGCTTACCCGGAAGATGTACGGTACAGTTCTCTTGTCGGTGGACTTGAGAGCTATGAAGGCGATGCTGTCATACAGGGAAGTATGGCTCAACACGCAGGGCCCGAATATAGCATTCTCAGGGATGTCACAAGTCGTGTAAACGCTGGTAAAAATGTCTGTCAGGCATTGTTGCACAGCCTTGGCGTCTCCATCCCAGATGCCTCTCTGGACACCTGAGTCCTCCATCACTAGAGACAAATACGCAGTACGGAAAAGCGGGTTATGACAACACATGTCTAGCACTGCTGTGGGCCCACACACAATATTGGGATTCAGAGACATATTTTTGGTTGCACATGCCTGATTTTTGCAAAGCTCTTATTTTTTTAAAAAAGCAGACTAATCTAAAATGCCTTAAAAATACCAACTCAGGAGTAGTTTCCTTCCCTTTTAGATAATCAAAATAGTGGGAGACCCAGAACCCGCTGAATGCTTGAGAGAAAAAAGAAAAGAGCAGGTCATTTTTGCATCATGTTGGCAATGGATGACTTTTGGGGTGAAATAACAGGAAAATAGTAATATATTTTTTCTACCGACCTACACAGACTTCTCTAATAGAAACTTCTAACCCCTGGGGAAACGCTCTTTTCCTATGCATTGAACTGGATGCCCGGGAGCTGATTTTTTTTTTTTTTTCTTTTCTTCCAAAGAGGGGAGCAGCATTAGCAAGCAGGCGGAGACAGTGGAGCATAGCGAATGGATTTCAAGTGGAGTGTCAGGGCCACTAATTCCGTGTCAGCTAACCTTTCTCTGCAGCCTACAAGAAGGGACGTATGTCTGCTCATTACCATAATCCAACACTGTCCCTCGGAGGCTTTAATTAAAAGCAGCAAGCAGAGGTAATTATTTTTTTCTCGACATGCTTATTTATGGATGAGGGTGAATCCTAGTTACCTTGTTAACAAGAGGGTGGAGAGAGCCACATGTGGCCCATGAAGCGAGCAGGTACAGGGCAGGCCTGAACTGTCCCCTGTCTAAAATACTGTGTGCAATGACTGGTGAATTCTCACTTCCCCAGACACAGCTCTGCTTGGGCAAGAGGGGGCAGCCCTGCTTGAATAGTCCTTCATGGGTTCTCCAGCTGTTTAATCCACAGCAATTTAGAAAGTAATGCCCCAATGGAGGGCTCTCTATTAAGCTGTCATAAAGGGACATTTCCCTTCCTCTGCCACTGGACACCCCCTACAAGACATCATTTTTAAACAAAGCAGGCATTTAAAATATTTAAACTAGTTTTGAGCTAGCCGAATTGTTTACTGTTCTCCACTGATCCAAAGGTTCCTCCAGGTTGGTTTTTCCCTAGTAGTGTCAATATTGGCAGTGATTTACGTATGTTTCCTACCATGGAAGTGGTAGAGAAGAGTAAACCTAATTTTTTTCTGTAGAGCTGTTCATTAACTCCTTATTAATAATTCCTATTTTTTTATCTTAATGTCCATTAACTAAGTGGCCTAGCAACTGTGACTCCGAGGCAGTGCTTATTTGGTTTGTTTGCCTCCTTTGCAGTTCACAGAGCCTAAAACTTTGGCTAGCCTCTTTGCCCATTCATTCTCTTGCATGCCAGCAGTGGCAAGTGTTAGACTATATCTGCCAAACAGCAGAAAATAAAGAAAAGATCCCCAAGGTACAAACTTTATTATACCATCTCTCCGTGGGCGTTTTTACCTCCCACAAAGTGGCCTTCCTGATTTTCAACTGCAAATTAAAATACATTTAAAAAAAAAAAAAGAGACCAGGACCGCTCATCTTTTCAAAGGAATCAATCCGATTCGCCCCTTTTCAGTTTCCTCCAGATCAGCGTTTTATGCTCTAATTTCTCTCCTCCTTTTAAAACTCTTCACACAAGCGTTTCATTGTGCAGGAAGGACGCCGTCGCTTCAGCCGACAGAGGGGACGCGGTCATTAAAATGCAGTTCTACCTAACAATACGGCGGAAAGGTCCTCGCCGGCCGCGCTGGCTGGGTCGGAGTGGCCGGCGGCCGCCGAGCGCCTCCCGCCGCGGTCACAATGCCCCCGGACGAGCCCAGGCTGCTAGCCCGCGCGCGCTCACCTTCTCCACCCGAAAGCGCCGACCGCGGCGTCCCGCGCCGGGCCGGGCTCCTGGCGGCCGGGGACCCTGCCGGGACGCGCCCGCTCGGAAAGCGGCTGCAGCGTCCGCGCCCCGGCCCTCTAGGCAGGCATTGTCTGGGGCCGCGGGCTCCGCAGCCCCGGGCTGCTCCGGAAAGTGCACCCTACACGCTCCTCCCTTTGTATACTCTTATTGGCAGAAGAGGTCCCTCAGTAATCATTTCCCCCGTCTTTTGAATGAAGAGGGGACAGGGCGCAACATTTTCCAACCTTCGCATCCAACCTGCCTTCTCCCATCCCCCCTCCCACAGCAGTACAAATACAGTAGACTCACCCGGAATAAGGTCAGGATCCACCCGCCCAAATAAGGCCACCTGGAGCGGGAAGCTGCGATCGAGGGTTTCCTTTTGCCTATTGTATCAGTGTATTTCCATGTCAAGGGGTGTTTCAGGGCTTGTAGGCTCTGCCTAAAGAGAGAAGGCAGAGAGAGGTGGAGAGATGGGGAGAGGAAAATGAGGGGAGAGGGGAGAGAGAGAGAGAGAGAGAGAGAGAGAGAGAGAGAGAGAGAGAGAAGTACAGATGGACCCGACGCAGTGACTGACTGGCACGCAGACACACACTTTTTGTTTGCTGCACATAATCTGCCCAATGACGCGTGAAAGCCCACGTCCCCTCCCTTTAACTCTTTGCTGGGCTGGGCGCTCCCTCCGGCGCCGCCTGCCTCCAAGCCTTCTCCCCGTGTGCGGCTCCTGCAGAGCCCTGTGCCTTCCCCCGGTGGCGACGCCTCTCCAAGTGCGGCCTGGCTCACCTGCTACCCACACTGGGACCGCTTAGAGAGGAAAATTCCTTTCAGGATCTGAAAGGAAGGGACCGGGGACCGGAGGGCTGGAGGCAGCCCTTCCCCATTTCGGTAGGCGCTTGGAGGACCTAGGACAGAGCTGGACACTCAGGGCGCACGCAACCCGCCCGCACAGGTCGGGATCTGCTGCCCGCAGAGGGGTACGGGCAGCCCCCAGGGATTCTCTGGCCTCTGAGTCGCTGCTGATTGGCGGAGCCATTTGACTTGGGCGTTGGTAAACGGGCTCCAGGTCTCTCCTGGAGAGCTCACATTACAAGCCCTCCAGTGCAAAATTCAGAAAGGAAGCACTTTGGTAGAAACTTTGCTTAGCCTTCGATGGGCAGAGGAGATGGGTAAGGGGATACAGCAGGGATGCGCCAGACCTGGGAAGGAAAGGGGTTGGCACGGGTCTTCGCTCCCCAGGACGTAGGTACCTGCGTGGGGACAGGGAGAGAGTGAGGGCACGTCTGTGAGAAGAGCCCAAGTTATAGGGTGCAAACTGCCCCTGCTTGCTCAGCCTCTGCAGCGTGTTTGGCATAGCCCCCAGGGACCCCATAATGGGGGCGGCCAGTACTGCAAGACCTGGGAGTTGATAGGGGAATGATTCAAAGTAAAAGTGATTACTGAGATGGGCTCCAGAGAGCCGTTCACGTCCACCCCGTGGTGTGTGTGGGTGGGAGGTGGACTTGCGGAGGCGTCTGGGGGCCTGGTTTATGCGCTCAGCCACTTATAGGCTCGGCCTTGCCCCTCCACTGCAGCTGATGCTAGTAATGTGAGGTCTTTAACTGCCTGAAAGTGGGCTCCTTGGAAAAGGGCCACAGTTGTGCTGGGGGCTTTCGACTCCTTCTCACTGTTCAGCTCTTCCCCTAGGGCAGGAAGGCCACGGAGTGATGCGGAGGCAGTCCCTCAGTCCCCGCCCCTGCTCCCACCACACTGAAGTGGGCAATCTGTCAGCTTCAGAACAAATCGGATTGTGGAGCCGGCTAAAGGGCAAGAG